GGCATTTGAAATGCTGCCTGGCACTTACAGAGTCTCAGTCCAGGGGTATTCCTTCCATGCTTGTTCATCCAAAGTAGCAATCGAGTTGCCAGTGAAATCTCTGCAAAGGAACAACAGACCCCTGAGGAAAAGCCCTTCCCCTGCCCATTTGGCTGAGGAGTTGGAAGTGGGATTTCCCTGGAGAAGGCACGGCTTGGCCAGCCTGGCTTCACCCTCCCAGTGCAGCACAACCCCCCAAAGGCAGCGTGTCTCCTGGCAGTGACTGTGCCGGCTGTCCCGGCTGGGCTTTCCAGCACTAAGAAGGCGAGCAGGGGAAGCTGGAGGGGGTGTGTGGGGCAGGCAGGACTCACAGGACGGTGAGGGCCCGTCGGCGGGTGGCCGGGGGCACGGTGGCCAGGCCGGCGTGGCGGCAGTCCAGCAGTCCACGCCTCTGGCAGCGGCAGGGGTGCGGGCAGAGCTCCTTGGACTCTCCTGGGCAGGGAGTCACTGCCAGCAGCAGGGCCAGCAGGAGCAGAGCACGCACGACACGTGTCAGCAAGTCCATGGCGAACCACGACTGGCTGGAGTCGGCTGGGATGCAGAAAGAAGGGGTTGCCTTGGTGGTGTTCGTGTCACAGTGGGGATGCTGATGTCACAGTGGGGATGCTGATGTCACAGTGGGGATGCTGATGTCACAGTGGGGATGCTGACGTCACAGTGGGGATTCTCTTGTCACAGTGAGGATGCTGATGTCACAGTGGGGATGGTGATGTCACAGTGGGGATGGTGATGTCACAGTGGAGATGCTCTTGTCACAGTGGTGGTGCTGCATCAGAGCTCACAGCTGGACTGGAGTTCAGGCGAGCCTGTCACCAAATGACTCTGCCACAGAGCCATAAACCCATGGCATCCTGGAATGGACTGGCTTGGAAGGGGCCTTGAGGCTCATCCAGTCCCCCCTGCCCCTTCCATGGGCAGAGGCACTTTTCACTAGAGCAGTTTGCTCCAAGTCCTGTCCAGTCTGGCCTTGAACACTTCAAGGACAGGATGGGGGAGCCACAGCTTCTCTGGGCAATCTGTGCTGGTGCCTCAGCACTCTCACAGGGCAGAATCTAACAATACACGATCTAACCCTGTTCTCAGTCAGTGTGAAGCCATTCTCATTTGGATTGGGTTTGCGTGGGCAGGTTTTGGTAGCGGAGCAGAGGCTACAGGGGTGGCTTCTGTGAGAAGCTGCAGGAAGCTTCCCCCATGTCCAGCTGATCCAATGCCAGCNCGGGTGGGTTTGGCTTTGGGGGGGCAGAGGTGGGGCTGAGGGAGGTGAATTTGAGGCTGGGGGTGGATTTGGGAGTAGATTTGGGGCTGGGCAGTTGATTTGAGGCTGGGGGAGTGGATTTGGGGGTTGCTTTGGGGCTGGCAGTGGATTTGAGGTTGGAAGGTGAGGATTTGAGGCTGGGTGGAAGATTTGGGGCTGGAGGTGGATTTGAGGCTGAGGAGGGTGGATTTGAGTGCTGGGTGGTAAGAATTATGGGGTTGGGGGTGGATTTGGGGTTAAATTTGGGGCTGAGGGAGTGAATTTGGGGATGGGGGTGTGGCTGAAGAGCAGATTTGGAGCTGGAGGAGGATTTGGGTCTGAGGAGGGTGGACTTGGGGCTGGGGGGACTGGATTTGGGCCTGGGGAGATAAATTTGAGGCTGGAGTAGATTTGGGGCTGGGAGACAGATTTACGGCTAAGGGGAGTGAATTTGGAGCTAGGAGTGGATTTGGGAGTAGATTTGGGTCTAGGCAGCAGATTTGAGAGTGGAGGCTGAGGATTTGGGGCTGAGGATGGATTTAGGGCTAGGGGGTGGATTTGAGTCTGAGAAGAGTGGATTTGGGGCTGAGTGGTGATGGTTTTGGGGCTGGGGGTGGATTTGGGGGTAAATTTGGGGCTGAAGAAGTGGATTCAGGGCTGGGGGTGTGGATTTGGGGCTGGGGGTTGGTTTGGTAGTAGATTTGGCACAGGGGTGTATTTGGGGCTGGAAAGGTGGGTTTGGAGGGTAGATTTGGGGCTGAGGGGGTGAATTTGGGGCTGGGGGTGGATTTGGGGGTAAATTTGGGTCTGAGGGGGGTGGATTTGGAAGATTTGGGGCTGAGGGGGTGAATTTGGATCTGAGGTAGATTTGGGTCTGAGGGGGGTGGATTTGGGAGTAGATTTGGGTCTGAGGAAGGTGGACTTCTGTCTGGGTGGTGGATTCGGGGCCAAAGGAGTGGATTTGGGTCTGAGGAGGGTGAATTTTGGGCTGGGGTCAGTTGGGGGTAGATTTGGGTTTGAGGAGGGTGGATTTGGGAGTAGATTTGGGGCTGGGGGGACTGGATTCGGGGCTGAGTGGGGTGATTTGTGGCTGGGGGGTGGATTTGAGGCACTTTCCCCTCATGCTCCAGGCCGAGGCAGGAGCGGGAGGGCCGGGCCGGGGCCAGGCCGGGCCATGGCGGCTCTGAGGGGCTGGAGCTGCGGGGAGCGGGGCCTGGGACCTGCCCGGGGCCACAGGAACAGGGCCCGAGACCCCTCCAGGTCCCCCCGGATCCCCCCAGGGCTGGGGAGGAAGGCCCAGGACACCCGCAGGGCTGAGTGATCTTTCCTCCCCCTCGAGGTGAGGCCTCAGCCCTCCCCATCTGTACTGAAGGCTTTACTAAATGTGCTGCTACCACACTAATAAGTTATTTTTAAATCCTTCCCTTTTTTCCCCATTTTTTTGTTTGTTTTTAATAATTTTTCAGTTCCCTTGTCTCTGCCACAGGGGTGTTGGGCTAGCCCAGGGGGGATTCCAGCCCCATTCCATGGCCAGTTTGGAGTCTTCCCAGCAAAAGTGCCCAAGAGCCAAGCACAAGGTGGAAGAGCTGGAACCAAACCCCATTAATTTGCCTGCAAAATGCTGTGCCAATACTTCACTGAATAGTAAATCCACACAAAGCACAGCAGAAAGCAGGAGGCAGGTGGTGGCGAGGATGAGTAAGAAAATTGGGATTTTCTTAGTCAGGATCCGGCCTGGAAAAGTGAAGGCTCCAGGGTGACCTAATTGTGGCCTGAAGTGGGTCTACAAGAAACATGGAGAGAGACTATTTACTCCTCGATGCTGCAATTGCCTCAACTTAAATCCTGAGAAGAAATTACATCTTGGAATTGTACAGTAAAACTACTTTTGGGGGGTATCTTTGTGCAGAAATGCACATATATATTTTAGATGGGATGGAAAAACATTCATTTAGGGTACAGGATTGTTACGGGGCAGCCTGACAAGTCTGACACATGACAGCATCCAGGGCTGCTCTTTATGGAATCTGTGGGAGGGAAAATCCTGGTAAAGCCACAGTAGGTTAAATCAAATGATTTTTTAATAAGTTCTTAAATAAATCAAACTCCGCATCTAAAAACACACTTTGCAAGCTTTCTTTTACCCAGGGGGAATGACTGGTAAAAGCTTTGGAGAATCCCTGCAGGTGATTGTGGGATCTGAACAAAAATACCTCAGTACCATGGTAAAACTGCTCATGGTGCTTGGGGGGTGGGTTCTGTGGGCCAGCCCCAGCACGAGCGTGGCAGTTTGGTCTAGGCCTTCCTTGGTGACCGGTTTGTAACCAAGGAAGGGCCCAGATTTACCCAGTATTCCCTACGATTTTTACGTAAGCCAGGCTGGTGAGGAGGGGGCACAGCATGGCCAGGTTTGAGGCTGGCTCCCTGCCAAGTCTCCAAACCATATCAACGAGCCAGCCCTGAGCAGGGGATTTTCATCTCGCTCCATCTAGAAACACCATGGCTTATCTGGGGAGGCTTTTTGTCCAGGTTACCCAGCTTACCTGAGCAGGTACAGGCATTTCTCAGCACAGCCCTCATGGCAACAACAGCAAGGGAAGCCCTGGCTTGTGAGGGTCATGATTTGGGTCCTACTCCTTTGCTATTGGAGTAGCTGAAATGAGGGCACAGAGAAGTGTCCCCAAATCCCCTGAGTTGTTGTAGCTCATTGCCAGCACTCAGCTCCATCACTGCTTCCACTCCTAGTGTCATTTATTGTGACCCTGATTTGCTTCCATTTTTCCCACAAAAAGGGACGCTTTGCAATTTCTTGTCTGCACATTGGCTTGAAAGGAGCCAAGTCCAGGGTGGTCTTGGCCTCTCTGGAGCTGCTCCTGTGGTGAGCCAGCCCCAGGGCTGCCTCTGGCACTGGAACAGGCCCCAAGGCTGCCAGAGCTCAAGAAGTGTTTGCACAACACTCTCAGACACGTGGTGGGATTGTTGGGGTGACTCATGCAGGGACAGGAGCTGCACTCAATGACCCTTGGGGGTCCCTTTGAGCTCAGGATATTCCATGGTTCATTCCTCCTGCAGTTTTCCTGGAGCAGTGTCTGACCAGCCTTGTGACACTTTGTTCCACCTGGTGACACTGAGTCACCTGGTGTCCACGGGCAAAACTGGCTCCCTTCCTTACTGAAGAGTAGCAGCAAAACTGGAGTATTTTGGAGTGTGACATAACTAATATCCATCACAATTTTTTTTATAAGTCCAGGAGACGAAATGTCTCCTGGTTTGTTCTCTCTTCACATTCTCCTCTGTACAGCCCCTGCTATCCAGCCTCCTTTAAACCCATGGAGAGCTGACCTAACTGGTCCTGACCATAAGAGAAGCAAGCAGCAGAGTCAAACAGAAACCTCTGTTCTCCCAGCAGTCATCCTTCACCTCCCTGCCCTCTCACTCCCCTTCTGTGGAGGTATTCCCTCCCTGTGGGAGGGAATTCAGCACTCACTCTCCACAAAGCACCGGCCAGACTGATGGAAAGAGAATTCGGAAGGACTTGCTGGGTGTCCTTCTGGTTCATTGCCTTGTGGTGTCAGTCAACCTTTCCAAAGCAGAAATGTTCCCGAGTGGTGAATTTCAGGGAGACTGCCCCTTGTACGTGGTAAAAATATGTTTCCAGGTGCAGAGGGATGAAGATAAAATTTGTTTTAGGGAGGGAAATTTGCCCTTGATTTCTCTTTGCAGGTCAATGAATTGTCTTGGGAACAGTTGGAGCTCAAAGTTTTGTCTGATCTCAGTTTTGATGATGCCACTGAATTAGAGCAGCTCTGCCTTCACATTGTTTCCAAAAGTTTTGCAGTGTTTGATTAGGGATGAAATTTGAACTCCATGAGACGCCACGTGCGTCATAAACAACATTTGCTTTTCTTCCAGATATGTAACAATGAAAGAAATGAGCAATAAACCTAATGTTGCTAAAATTAAGACCCCAAATATATGTTGGCTTTGGAGAAAAACTGTTTTCCTGTCAACTTATTGAGGTCATCTATATCTGGAACCAGTGGAGCTGCACGAATACTTAGACAGAATAGCAGGTGTGTGTAGCAATTCCAGAACAACAAAAGGAACGAGCCCTCCCTGCAGGAACCCACAAACGGCTCAGAGTCACTCAAATCCATGGGAAAAAGCTGGAAGTGGAAGGTGTCTTACCAGCAGGAGTAGCTGTGGGACTGACAGTCTTTTGCACAGGCACAGGAAAAGTATTTCTCTAAGTGAAAATTGTTTTAAAGAAATAAGCCTAAGTCTTGTAGTAATGTGTTGAGACTTTTGTGCCAAGTGAGC